TGATGTGCTTAGCCAGGCTTTAAAGTGTTTACATTGTTACCAGTTTAATTCAGAGTTTATATGATGTTAATTTCAACTTAGAAAGGGAGATGTAATGATAAGTGTTAATGTCAACAGAAGTCCATTAATCTATATTAAGTAGTCATACCCAAGCAGTATCTAGCAGCTAAGCCAACGAGAGTGCTCTCCCTTGAGTTGTAACAAGATGGCCACCATGCTGACCACATGGTCTGAATAAAAGGCTTTTTAACACGAAGTACCTTTCTTCACTTATTGTTACAAACCACTACAGTCATCTCTGCTGATGTTGCTACCAGCTGCTCGTCCTGTCATGGCGCCTCGTCTCCTGTGTCCTCCTCCCCGCCACGTGTACTCTGACTGATGGTTTGGGGAAGTTTTCCCAACCTGCTGGAGTGGTGGCTCATTCTTCCTGATGGTAGCCATCTCTGCTGATGTCGCTACCAGTTGCTCGTCCTGTCATGGCGCCTCGTCTCCTGTGTCCTCCTCCCCGCCACGTGTACTCGGACTGATGGTTTGGGGGAGTTTTCCCAACCTGTTGGAGTGGTGGCTCATTCTTCCTGATGGTAGCCATCTCTGCTAATGTCGCTACCAGCTGCTCGTCCTGTCATGGCACCTCGTCTCCTGTGTCCTGCTCCTCTTCAAAAGTATCACAAATGTATATCTCTATCTAGTCTTCTTATAAACTATAAAAGCAGAAAAAAGTAACTTTGCTTCACATAAAGTAGTGTAAATGTCATATAAAATAATGTTATATTTGGTCAGAGAGCCAGCGGCAGTGTATTGAAGACACCAGAGGACTGAAAACAGCCTGGGGATGTTGTTCCAAATGTCAGCCAAAGATTGGTCCAACTGAACTGGCGTTTCCGGATGGTTCTAGTCCTGTCTTGGGCATCGTTCCATCTCATCCACGATTTGTTCTATGGGGGAGAGGTTCGTCGAAACAACCAACATTGGCAGTGCAGCAATGTTACAATCTGTAACAACACCTGCAACATGTGGGCGGGCATTATCCTGCTGCAACGTCATGCTTCAACCCCTAAACTGAAGATGTTTAGTAATGCAAATAGAGCTAACACAATCTCCCCGACACCTGTAGAGCCTTGCACGACTATCAGGGTTATCCAGGTGACCCCTGGACTCATATGTGAACAGTATACAGTCCCAGTCTTGTCTGCAAGACCTCAGATGCTGTCTACACCAAGCTAGGCGTGCCTAACAGTGACATGGATGCAAACTTGGGCTTATCGCTCGATGTCAGGCCGGAATTGTCCCAGCTGTTCATGTAGCAGTTTGATGTGCAATATTTAATTTCAAAATATATTTTCATTGAACTTTATCTGATGCACAGTTTCTTTTTTTCTGTTAGTACACATAAACTGAAAATACCAACTTATTATAGTGTGAAATCTACCAGACACTGTGCTATGACAACTCAGAAAACAAACAGATGTTGACAGTTACACACACAGGATAGAAGTGAGGCTGTCCTTGCTGGGCATGAGGAGAGTGTAAGGAAGGGAGATACTGGTTGTATCAACCGGAGTTCTATGGAAGTGTACTGCATATTTGCATATGTCTTTGGCATTGTTAAAAACACAGGCCTTTCGGGGTGATTTCAGTATTGTGTACACCTGGTATTGCTTAAACAACTAGAATGACTTTCTTTCGAACTATCAGGTATCTCATAAATTCTGCATTTAACTAAGAAGACCCAATTTGTCTCGAAATCATGGAAAATCCATTTCAAATTCAGGAGACAGGCAACTAGCCATGCTATTTTCCAGAGTATACCCTGGCAATGATGTAAAAGAGATTCTGTATTTGTAAGAATTGTCAAACAATAGTTTTCATTGTCAACAATTCAAAAATACTACCTGTTTCTGTATGGTGTCAGTGTGTGTGACTGTATGTATGGTATCAGTGTGTATGACTGTATGTATGGTGTAAGTGTGTGTGACTGTATGTATGGTGTCAGTGTGTGTGACTGTGTGTATGGTATCAGTGTGTATGACTGTATGTATGGTGTCAGTGTGTGTGACTGTGTGTATGGTGTCAGTGTGTGTGACTGTATGTATGGTGTCAGTGTGTATTGTGTCAGTGTGTGTGACTGTATGTATGGTGTCAGTGTGTGTGACTGTATGCATGGTGTCAGTGTGTGTGACTGTATGTATGGTGTCAGTGTGTGACTGTATGTATGGTGTCAGTGTGTGTGACTGTATGTATTGTGTCAGTGTGTGTGACTTTGTGTATGGTGTCAGTGTGTGTGACTGTATGTATGGTGTAACTGTACGTGACTGTTTTTATGGTGTCAGTGTGTGTGACTGTGTGTATGGTGTCAGTGTGTGTGACTGTATGTATGGTGTCAGTGTGTGTGACTGTATGTATGGTGTCAGTGTGTGTGACTGTATGTATTGTGTCAGTGTGTGTGACTTTGTGTATGGTGTCAGTGTGTGTGACTGTATGTATGGTGTAACTGTACGTGACTGTTTTTATGGTGTCAGTGTGTGTGACTGTGTGTATAGTGTCAGTGTGTGTGACTGTATGTAAGATGCCAGTGTGTATGGTTTCAGTGTGTGTGACTGTATGTATGGTGTCAGTGTGTGTGACTGTATGTATGGTGTAACTGTACGTGACTGTTTTTATGGTGTCAGTGTGTGTGACTGTGTGTATAGTGTCAGTGTGTGTGACTGTATGTAAGATGCCAGTGTGTATGGTTTCAGTGTGTGTGACTGTATGTATGGTGTCAGTGTGTGTGACTGTATGTATGGTGTCAGTGTGTGTGACTGTATGTAAGATGCCAGTGTGTATGGTTTCAGTGTGTGTGACTGTATGTATGGTGTCAGTGTGTGTGGCCGTGTGCATAGTGTCAGTGTGTGTGACTATGTATGGTGTCAGTGTGTGTGACTGTATGTATGGTGTCAGTGTGTGTGACTGTATGTATTGTGTCAGTGTGTGTGGCCGTGTGCATAGTGTCAGTGTGTGTGACTATGTATGGTGTCAGTGTGTGTGACTGTATGTATGGTGTCAGTGTGTGTGACTGTGTATGGTAGCAGTGTGTGTGACTGTGTGTATGGTGTCACTGTGTGTGACTGTGTGTATGGTGTCAGTGTGGTTGACTGTATGTATGGTGTCAGTGTGTGTGACTGTGTGTATTGTGTCGGTGTGTGTGACTGTTTGTATGGTGTCAGTGTGTGTGACTGTGTGTATGGTGTCAGTGTGTGTGACTGTGTATGGTGTCAGTGTGTGTGACTGTGTGTATGGTGTCAGTGTGTGTGACTGTGTGTATGGTGTCAGTGTGTGTGACTGTGTATGGTAGCAGTGTGTGTGACTGTGTGTATGGTGGCAGTGTGTGTGACTGTGTGTATGGTGTCAGTGTCTGTGACTGTGTATATGGTGTCAGTGTGTGTGACTGTGTATGGTGTCAGTGTGTGTGACTGTGTGTATGGTGTCGGTGTGTTTGACTGTTTGTATGGTGTCAGTGTGTGTGACTGTGTGTATGGTGGCAGTGTGTGTGACTGTGTGTATGGTGGCAGTGTGTGTGACTGTGTGTATGGTGACAGTGTGTGTGACTGTGTGTGTGGTGTCAGTGTCTGTGACTGTGTATATGGTGTCAGTGTGTGTGACTGTGTATGGTGTCAGTGTGTGTGACTGTGTGTATGGTGGCAGTGTGTGTGACTGTGTGTATGGTGGCAGTGTCTGTGACTGTGTATATGGTGGAAGTGTGTGTGACTGTGTGTATGGTGACAGTGTGTGTGACTGTGTGTATGGTGTCAGTGTGTGTGGGTGTGTGTATGGTGGCAGTGTGTGTGTCTGTGTATGGTGGCAGTGTGTGTGACTGTGTGTGTGGTGACAGTGTGTGTGACTGTGTGTATGGTGGTAGTGTGTGTGACTGTGTGTATGGTGTCAGTGTGTGTGACTGTGTATGGTGTCAGTGTGTGACTGTGTGTATGGTGGCAGTGTGTGTGACTTTGTGTATGGTGTCAGTGTGTGTGACTGTGTATGGTGTCAGTGTGTGACTGTGTGTAAGGTGTCAGTGTGTGTGTCTGTATGGTGTCAGTGTGTGTGACTGTGTGTATGGTGTCAGTGTGTGTGACTGTGTGTATGGTGTCAGTGTGTGTGACTGTGTGTATGGTGGCAGTGTGTGTGACTGTGTGTATGGTGGCAGTGTGTGTGACTGTGTGTATGGTGTCAGTGTCTGTGACTGTGTATATGGTGGCAGTGTGTGTGACTGTGTGTATGGTGTCAGTGTCTGTGACTGGTTATATGGTGGCAGTGTGTGTGACTGTGTGTATGGTGTCACTGTGTGTGACTGTGTGTATGGTGGCAGTGTGTGTGACTGTGTGTATGGTGGCAGTGTCTGTGACTGTGTATATGGTGGCAGTGTGTGTGACTGTGTGTATGGTGTCAGTGTGTGTGACTGTGTGTATGGTGTCAGTGTGTGTGACTGTGTGTATGGTGTCAGTGTGTGTGACTGTCTATATGGTGTCAGTGTGAGTGACTGCGTGTATGGTGGCAGTGTGTGTGACTGTGTGTGTGGTGTCAGTGTGTGTGACTGTGTGTATGGTGTCAGTGTGTGTGACTGTGTGTATGGTGTCAGTGTGTGTGACTGTGTGTATGGTGTCAGTGTGTGTGACTGTCTATATGGTGTCAGTGTGAGTGACTGCGTGTATGGTGGCAGTGTGTGTGACTGTGTGTGTGGTGTCAGTGTGTGTGACTGTGTGTATGGTGTCAGTGTGTGTGACTGTGTGTGTGGTGTCAGTGTCTGTGACTGTGTGTATGGTGTCAGTGTGTGTGACTGTGTGTATGGTGGCAGTGTGTGTGACTGTGTGTATGGTGGCAGTGTGTGTGACTGTGTGTATGGTGTCAGTGTGTTTGACTATGTGTATTGTGGCAGTGTGTGTGACTGTGTGTATGGTGTCAGTGTGTATGGTGTCAGTGTGTCTGACTATGTGTATTGTGGCAGTGTGAGTGTGATTCACCTCACAGATTTGTTTTCTTTGTGTAACTTCCAGATCCCCAACAGTGAGGCGGCGGTATTGTCGGCGTGTCACTAGCTCCTCCAACGCTGCAGTGTCTGTGTCAATGGTGGACAACACCACCTTCACTGTCTTAGGTAGTGCATCTGGCCACCAGAACAGTGCCTGCCAGGAACAAAGTTACAGCTACCTTACAATACAACAACAGAACACAGAAGAGGATATGTGGCACGAAGGGGAATACTATTGGTTATGGTGTCTATAGTTGCCATATGCACTGTCATATTAGGTAAGCAGAAAAATATTGGCCGAGGCGTGAGCAACTAAAGACATAATAATGAATTAATAATGCCGAAAAGTTTACACTTTCTGGTGTCTTTATCGCACATGTCATGTCAAAACGAAAACTTGAAACTTACAATGGGTATAAATGACAGGACCAGTACATATGTTTCTGATATTACTTTGAGGCATAATAAGGGATCATATGGAATCAGTAGTTCTGCTCTCTCATTGGTTAATCTCACTTTGAGAAACAACAAAGGCCAGTCTCCATATGTGGTTGAAAGAGGTAAATATCAGTCTAAAATCAGATGTTCTGAAACCAATAAAAACACTAATTCCAAATAACTATTGTTCAGGTGATTCAGGTAAATTATTGTAAACAATGGGTACTTTTCTACCTTATGCCTGGTCTGCATTCTTTACTTTGAGTGGAAGCAAAATGGCCTCTTAAGGAAGTGCTTTTCAAAGGAAACCTTTCTGATCAACGTGCTCTCCTGGCTTAGGTATTGTGTTGGTATAAAACAATATAGTTTGTGCAGTTGTTTAACCATGAATTAAAAGAAATGAACTCAATGATGTACTATATTTTGAGGCAAAAGGGGAGGGCTGAGCGCAAAGAGGCCAGAGAAGGGGAGGGCAGAGTGGCAAGGGGGGAGGGCAGAGAGGCAAGGGGGGAGGGCAGAATGGCAAGAGGCCAGAGAAGGGGAGGGTTGAGTGGCAAGGGGGGAGGGCAGAGCTGCAAGAGGCCAGAGAAGGGGAGGGCTCAGGGGCAAGGGGGGAGGGCAGAGAGGCAAGAGGCCAGAGAAGGGGAGGGCAGAGTGGCAAGAGGCCAGAGAAGGGGATGGCTGAGGGGCAAGGGGGGAGGGCAGAGCTGCAAGAGGCCAGAGAAGGGGAGGGCAGAGTGGCAAGAGGCCAGAGAAGGGGAGGGCTGAGGGGCAAGGGGCCAGAGAAGGGGAGGGCAGAGTGGCAAGAGGCCAGAGAAGGGGAGGGCTGAGGGGCAAGGGGGGAGGGCAGAGCTGCAAGAGGCCAGAGAAGGGGAGGGCAGAGTGGCAAGAGGCCAGAGAAGGGGAGGGCTGAGGGGCAAGGGGCCAGAGAAGGGGAGGGCAGAATGGCAAGAGGCCAGAGAAGGGGAGGGCTGAGTGGCAAGAGGCCAGAGAAGGGGAGGGCTGAGGGGCAAGGGGGGGAGGGCAGAGCTGCAAGAGGCCAGAGAAGGGGAGGGCTGAGGGGCAAGGGGGGAGGGCAGAGAGGCAAGAGGGGAGGGCAGAATGGCAAGTGGCCAGAGAAGGGGAGGGCTGAGTGGCAAGAGGCCAGAGAAGGGGAGGGCAGAGAGGCAAGAGGCCAGAGAAGGGGAGGGCAGAGTGGCAAGGGGGGAGGGCAGAGCTGCAAGAGGCCAGAGAAGGGGATGGCTGAGTGGCAAGAGGCCAGAGAAGGGGAGGGCAGAGTGGCAAGGGGGGAGGGCAGAGCTGCAAGAGGCCAGAGAAGGGGAGGGCTCAGGGGCAAGGGGGGAGGGCAGAGAGGCACCCGGCGAGAGAAGGGGAGGGCAGAGTGGCAAGAGGCCAGAGAAGGGGAGGGCTGAGGGGCAAGGGGGAGGGCAGAGCTGCAAGAGGCCAGAGAAGGGGAGGGCAGAGTGGCAAGAGGCCAGAGAAGGGGAGGGCTGAGGGGCAAGGGGCCAGAGAAGGGGAGGGCAGAATGGCAAGAGGGCAGAGAAGGGGAGGGCTGAGTGGCAAGAGGCCAAAGAAGGGGAGGGCTGAGGGGCAAGGGGGGAGGGCAGAGCTGCAAGAGGCCAGAGAAGGGGAGGGCTCAGGGGCAAGGGGGGAGGGCAGAGAGGCAAGAGGGGAGGGCAGAATGGCAAGTGGCCAGAGAAGGGGAGGGCTGAGTGGCAAGAGGCCAGAGAAGGGGAGGGCTGAGTGGCAAGAGGCCAGAGAAGGGGAGGGCTGAGTGGCAAGAGGCCAGAGAAGGGGAGGGCAGAGTGGCAAGAGGCCAGAGAAGGGGAGGGCAGAGAGGCAAGAGGCCAGAGAAGGGGAGGGCAGAGTGGCAAGAGGCCAGAGAAGGGGAGGGCAGAGAGGCAAGAGGCCAGAGAAGGGGAGGGCAGAGTGGCAAGATGCCAGAGAAGGGGAGGGCAGAGAGGCAAGAGGCCAGAGAAGGGGAGGGCAGGGGGTGGCAAAAGGGCAGTGGGAGAGAAAATAAAAACATCCACCTTTGTCGTCTTGCCAGGTGTCTCCATTTTGTTCAGGCCGTCTATCACCATGACAACAATAAGTTTAGCCTTCTCCGCCCTCTGCAGGCATGTTTGAAGGTCTGCCATCATCTCCTGAATGTCCAGTTTGCTGTATCGAGTGACAGCATGCCCCTTGTCCTTCACATCAAGGTGTTGGGTTATCGCCACCACAAGTCTCCTCAAGATGTTCACAGCCTCTGTCATCAGTCCAAAATGTTGCATCACCACACACACGCATAGGAATGGGCTAAGTATGAAGACATGAACATAGTGCCACTGCAGTGTAGTTCACCTGGATATGTAGCTGGTATCTTTCATCCCGTGACCTTGTATCTACATTCACAACCAATGTCCTCAGATTCAAATGTCATCTTTGGTATCCTCAGCACTTATACTCAGCATGCCCAGGGCCCAGCTGTGATAGTCACAAACACTTATGTCTATATGGTTGCATCCGGTGATTACTAAGATTACAGAACCTATCTTCTGTCAGACGTCTCCAATATCCTCTTTTATGTTACTGTCAACAACCTAATTCTACACTTGAGAGGTAAGCACGTGCTAAACAACCTAATTCTACAATTGAGAGGTAAGCATGTGCTAAACAACCTAATTCTACACTTGAGTGATAAGCATGTGCTAAACAACCTAATTCTACCCTAAGTGATAAGCACATGCTAAACAACCTAATTCTACACTTGAGTGATAAGCATGTGCTAAACAATCTAATTCTACACTTGAGTGATAAGCACGTGCTAAACAACCTAATTCTACACTTGAGATATAAGCACGTGCTAAACAACCTAATTCTACACACAGTAAAACATACTGTCACGAAAACACACACTAAAACATACTGTCACGAAAACACACACTAAAACTTACTGTCACTGAAACACAAACTAAAACTTACTGTCACTGAAATACACACTAAAACTTACTGTCACTGAAACACACACTAAAACTTACTGTCACTGAAAAACAAACTAAAACTTACTGTCACTGAAATACACACTAAAACTTACTGTCACTGAAACACACACTAAAACTTACTGTCACTGAAACACACACTAAAACTTACTGTCAATGAAACACACACTAAAACATACTGTCACTGAAACACACACTAAAACTTACTGTCACTGAAACACACACTAAAACTTACTGTCACTGAAACACAAACTAAAACTTACTGTCACTGAAACACACTAAAACTTACTGTCACTGAAACACAAACTAAAACTTACTGTCACTGAAACACACACTAAAACTTACTGTCACTGAAATACACACTCAAACATACTGCCACTGAACCACACACTAAAACTTACTGTCACTGAAACACACTAAAACTTACTGTCACTCAAACACAAACTAAAACTTACTGTCACTGAAACACAAACTAAAACTTACTGTCACTGAACTGGCTGCAGCCAATGTAGTGGCTGATAACAATGGTTCTAGGCTGTGTCTTTTTCACGTGGCCGACCCAGTTGGCCAGCAATGCGGACTTGCCCTGCCCTGCCTCCCCGGTCACTAGCACTCTCTCTGCAGCACCTGGGAAAAGACAACACACAGCACTGAGAAAATAACACACACAGCACTGAGAACATAACACACACAGCCTTGAGAACATAACAAACACAGCACTCAGAACATAACAAACACAGCACTGAGAACATAACACACACAGCACTGAGAACATAACACACATAGCACTGAGAACATAACACATACAGCACTGAGAACATAACAAACACAGCACTCAGAACATAACAAACACAGCACTCAGAACATAACACACACAGCACTGAGAACATAACACACACAGCACTGAGAACATAACACACACAGCCTTGAGAACATAAACACAGCACTCAGAACATAACACACACAGCACTGAGAACATAACAAACACAGCACTGAGAACATAACACACACGGGGCTGAGAACATAACACACACAGCACTGAGAACATAAACACAGCACTGAGAACATAACACACACAGCACTGAGAACAAAACACACACAGCACTGAGAACATAACACACACGGGGCTGAGAACATAACACTCACAGCACTGAGAACATAACACACACAGCACTGGGAACATAACACACACAGCACTGAGAACATAACACACACAGCACTGAGAACATAACACACACAGCCTTGAGAACATAACACACACAGCACTGAGAACATAACACACATAGCCCTGAGAACATAACACACACAGCCTTGAGAACATAACACACACAGCACTGAGAATATAACACACACAGCCTTGAGAACATAACACACACAGCACTCAGAACATAACACACACAGCCTTGAGAACATAACACACACAGCACTGAGAACATAACACACACAGCACTGAGAACATAACACACACAGTACTGAGAACATAACACATACAGCCCTGAGAACATAACAAACACAGCACTGAGAACATAACACACACAGCACTGAGAACATAACACACACAGCACTGAGAACATAACACACACAGCACTGAGAACATAACAAACACAGCACTCAGAACATTACACACACAGCACTGAGAACATAACACACACAGCACTGAGAACATAACACACACAGCACTCAGAACATAACACACACAGCCTTGAGAACATAACACACACAGCCTTGAGAACATAACACACACAGCACTGAGAACATAACACACATAGCCTTGAGAACATAACACATACAGCCCTGAGAACATAACAAACACAGCACTGAGAACATAACACACACAGCACTGAGAACATAACACACACAGCACTGAGAACATAACACACACAGCCTTGAGAACATAACAAACACAGCACTGAGAACATTACACACACAGCCCTGAGAACATAACACACACAGCACTGAGAACATAACACACACAGGACTGAGAACATAACACACACAGCACTGAGAACATAACACACATGGGGCTGAGAACATAACACACATGGGGCTGAGAACATAACACACACAGCACTGAGAACAAAACACACACAGGACTGAGAACATAACACACACAGCCTTGAGAACATAACACACACAGCACTGAGAACATAACACACACAGGGCTGAGAACATAACACACACAGGGCTGAGAACAACATACACATAGCACTGAGAACATAACACACACAGGGCTGAGAACATAACACACACAGCACTCAGAACATAACACACACAGCACTGAGAACAACACACACAGGGCTGAGAACATAACACACACAGCACTGAGAACAACACACACAGGGCTGAGAACATAACACACACAGGGCTGAGAACATAACACTCACAGGCTGAGAACATCACACACACAGTACTGAGAACATAACACACACAGCACTGAGAACATTACACACACAGGCTCAATTTCCGAAGTTTTTAATGAACCTGTGACTATTACAAGTGTTAGTCATCACTGATCAATTGAGCGATCACTGAAAGGTGATTGCAGAGATGTGTCAAATAGATACTAAGGTACATTCATATATATATATCTGTCCATTGTCACTGCAGGCTACACAAGGATCGAGTCGATACTACAGTAGTTTGAGTGTGCTTTTCATCGTTTTGTTCTCTAAGATGGGTTGTAGTGAGAATATCCTTGAACGGACATGCAAAAGTATCCCAAAGTATGCTAAAACGCTTAGTCCATGATTAAAGGGTCTGATTGATGAGAAACAACGCTTCTGTACTTATTCATGTTAGGGAACTCCAAGGGGTTTCCCCAAGATTGTGGAAGTAGTCTGTCACTGTTTACGTCATTTTAAGAACACGGTCTCGTGAAAAACATATAAATGTGTAATTGTGTTGTTCAAACAATTATAATTTTTTAATTTGAAGTTTACACGATATACGGCTTTTCCATTGGACAAGAGGTCAGTCACATGACCGCGAAATTGACGTTTATAAGTGTATGAACGACACAATTTGACGTTCATAAGTTTTTCAGCAGACCGTGTCCTTGAAATGACGTAAACACTGAAGGACTACTTCCACATTCCTGGGGAAACCCCTGGGAATTCCCTAGCACGAAAACATGCATTTAAGCGTTCTTTCTGATTATTTAGAACCTTTATTCTTGGTCTCAGCATTTCAGTATACATTGAGAAATGTCAGAGAGCGTGACTGCATGATTGTTCACGAATATCCTCGCTACGGCCCATCCTAATGAACAAACGAAGAAATGCACATCTAAACTATCGTAGTATTGACTCGATCCGTGGCTAGGCTGACATTGACCATCTCCAGCAATCTATGAATTTACCTTTGTGTCTGTTTGACGCATCTTTATTCACCTTTCAATGATCGGCCAGTTGATCAATGATGACTAACACATGTAACCGCCACAGGTTCATTAACAACTTCGGAAATCTCTCCTGTCACGTTTATCGTGTCGGCCATTTTGACGTCTTGTACTTGATGTAAATGTATTACGACCCCTGTCATTGTGACTGACTTACTGAGGTAGTTCTTTACAGACCTTTCTCATCCAATGAGGATATGATTTGAACACATGTGCTGCGTAAGATGTTTCTGAAGAGCAAGTTGTGCATCCATACGCCCATGCCACCTCTCTTTTTGAGGAACTATTTTACTCCACGATATAGCTGTCAGTATAGTATGGATGTCAGTGTAAACATGAAGTCACATGTACTAAATAAAATTGTGTTTAGATCTTGGCCTACATCCTTTGAGGTAAGAAATTGTGATAAAAAAAATCATAAGAATTGACTTTCACTTTGTGTGAGTTCATTGGAGTATGAACCTTCATAGAGTGCGGGCCACTGAATGTCAATATCGCAGTCATGTGCCCGACCTCTTGTCCAATGGAAAAGCTGTATATCATGTAAACTTCAAATTAAAAAATTATACTTCGATACACACACACCACTAAGAACATAAAAGCAGTGTCTCTCCTGCATATACACAGTGTGTACCTGACAGGAGTGCCTTGTCCAGCTGCTTGAAGTACTTGTCTCCCCCTACATACAAGCTCTGTCTTGCAGCCTGGAACTTGTCATGATCTGCCTGCTCCGCCTGGCGTTCTGTCACCCTGCTCATCTCCTCATCCTCCTCGGTCAGCAGCACCTTGGTCAAGTACTCCCAGATGGCGTTGAACATGTGGTTGGCTCCCTGATGTGGTGGAAAATAAAAGTAAATAACGCTTTAGGACTTATTCAAAACTTACATTCAGAAGGAAAATATTGGTTCCTAATTATCCAGGTTATCCTCCTTCCCTTGCGCTGGTGGGGAGCTGTTAGGGAGGTCACTGCATGGTCCTCGTACATGTGCTGACAACACCAGCGACTCAGGTACACCTGGCTGATTATGTAACCTACTCTACCATGCCTAAGTCATCCTCGCACTATTAATAGCTAAGCCTTTTCTCAACTCTTATATTACCTTACCGCTATCTGTAAGAAGGTACTGTACAACACTGTGTCACACATCATATAGACAGACCTATTACAATTCTGAGCTACTTTGGCAAACTTTTCACAAGCATTTTAAATAACCAACTCAATAAATTCTTAGAGTGTAATAATATCCTTAACCCATTACAAGCAGGCTTAAGAAAAGATTGTCAACCCCTGATAACATATAAGGTTTAGAGTAATGTTTAGCATAATGGAGGACAGAGGTGTTTAGCCTCAGATTGATATGGCGTCATCCGTGTGTACTGGGTACCAGGGCAGATAATATACATCTGAACAGTCACTTTGGACTGAGCAGTGGAGAGAGATTTCTCGTAAACTTCCTGAACCTTGTTATTGAAGAGCTTCTCGGATGACCAGTGGACATAATAAGTCAAAACAAAAGAGATTGATGCCTCCTCCTCACTATTGGCCTGGCGACACATAAGGAGAAGAGAGACCATGGCATGCACTAAGGAGAAGAGGGGACCATGGCATGCACTAAGGAGAAGAGAGACCATGGCATGCACTAAGGAGAAGAGGGACCATGGCATGCACTAAGGAGAAGAGAGACCATGGCATGCACTAAGGAGAAGAGAGACCATTGCACGCACTAAGGAGAAGAGAGACCATGGCATGCACTAAGGAGAAGAGAGACCATGGCATGCACTAAGGAGAAGAGAAACCATGGCACGCATAAGGAGAAGAGGGACCATGGCATGCACTAAGGAGAAGAGGGACCATGGCATGCACTAAGGAGAAGAGGGACCATGGCATGCACTAAGGAGAAGAGGGACCATGGCATGCACTAAGGAGAAGAGAGACCATGGCATGCACTAAGGAGAAGAGGGACCATGGCATGCACTAAGGAGAAGAGGGACCATGGCATGCACTAAGGAGAAGAGAGACCATGGCATGCACTAAGGAGAAGAGAGACCATGGCATGCACTAAGGAGAAGAGGGACCATGGCATGCACTAAGGAGAAGAGGGACCATGGCACACATAAGGAGAAGAGAGACCATGGCACACATAAGGAGAAGAGAGACCATGGCACACATAAGGAGAAGAGGGACCATGGCACGCACTAAGGAGAAGAGGGACCATGGCATGCACTAAGGAGAAGAGGGACCATGGCATGCACTAAGGAGAAGAGGGACCATGGCATGCACTAAGGAGAAGAGAGACCATGGCATGCACTAAGGAGAAGAGGGACCATGGCATGCACTAAGGAGAAGAGAGACCATGGCACATATAAGGAGAAGAGGGACCATGGCATGCACTAAGGAGAAGAGGGACCATGGCATGCACTAAGGAGAAGAGGGACCATGGCATGCACTAAGGAGAAGAGAGACCATGGCACACAAAAGGAGAAGAGGGACCATGGCATGCACTAAGGAGAAGAGGGACCATGGCATGCACTAAGGAGAAGAGGGACCATGGCATGCACTAAGGAGAAGAGAGACCATGGCATGCACTAAGGAGAAGAGGGACCATGGCATGCACTAAGGAGAAGAGAGACCATGGCATGCACTAAGGAGAAGAGGGACCATGGCATGCACTAAGGAGAAGAGGGACCATGGCACACATAAGGAGAAGAGAGACCATGGCATGCACTAAGGAGAAGAGGGACCATGGCACGCACTAAGGAGAAGAGGGACCATGGCACACATAAGGAGAAGAGGGACCATGGCACGCATAAGGAGAAGAGAGACCATGGCACGCATAAGGAGAAGAGAGACCATGGCATGCACTAAGGAGAAGAGGGACCATGGCATGCACTAAGGAGAAGAGAGACCATGGCATGCACTAAGGAGAAGAGGGACCATGGCATGCACTAAGGAGAAGAGAGACCATGGCATGCACTAAGGAGAAGAGGGACCATGGCACACATAAGGAGAAGAGAGACCATGGCATGCACTAAGGAGAAGAGGGACCATGGCACACATAAGGAGAAGAGGGACCATGGCATGCACTAAGGAGAAGAGAGACCATGGCATGCACTAAGGAGAAGAGAGACCATGGCACACATAAGGAGAAGAGGGACCATGGCATGCACTAAGGAGAAGAGAGACCATGGCATGCACTAAGGAGAAGAGGGACCATGGCATGCACTAAGGAGAAGAGAGACCATGGCATGCACTAAGGAGAAGAGGGACCATGGCATGCACTAAGGAGAAGAGAGACCATGGCATGCACTAAGGAGAAGAGAGACCATGGCACGCACTAAGGAGAAGAGAGACCATGGCATGCACTAAGGAGAAGAGAGACCATGGCATGCACTAAGGAGAAGAGGGACCATGGCATGCAAAAGGAGAAGAGAGACCATGGCATGCACAAAGGAAGTGAGGGAACATAGCACGCATAAGGAGGAGAGAGAACATGGCACGCATAAGGAGAAGAGAGACCATGGTATGCATAAGGAGAAGAGAAACCATGGCACGCATAAGGAGAAGAGAGACCATAGCACGCATAAGAAGAGAGACCATGGCATGCACTAAGGAGAAGAGGGACCATGGCATGCAAAAGGAGAAGAGAGACCATGGCATGCACAAAGGAAGTGAGGGAACATAGCACGCATAAGGAGGAGAGAGAACATGGCACGCATAAGGAGAAGAGAGACCATGGTATGCATAAGGAGAAGAGAAACCATGGCACGCATAAGGAGAAGAGAGACCATAGCACGCATAAGAAGAGAGACCATGGCATGCATAAGGAGAAGAGAGACCATGGCACGCATAAGGAGAAGAGAGACCATGGTATGCATAAGGAGAAGAGAGACCATGGCACGCATAAGGAGAAGAGAGACCATGGTATGCATAAGGAGAAGAGAGACCATGGCACGCATAAGGAGAAGAGAGACCATGGCACGCACTAAGGAGAAGAGAGACTATGGCACGTATAAGGAGAAGAGAGACCATTGCACGCACTAAGGAGAAAAGAGACTATGGCACGCATAAGGAGAAGAGAGACCATGGCACGCACTAAGGAGAAAAGAGGCCATGGCACGCATAAGGAGAAGAGAGACCATGGCACGCATAAGGAGAAGAGAGACCATGGCACTCACAAGGAGAAGAGAGACCATGGCACGCACTAAGAAGAAGAGAGACCATGGCACGCATAAGGAGAAGAGAGACCAGGGCACACACAAAGGAGAAGAGAGACCATGGCACGCATAAGGAGAAGAGAAATGATGGTATGCATAAAGAGAAGAGAGGCAAGGGCACACACAAGGAGAAGAGAGACCATGGCACGTATAAGGAGAAGAGAGACCATGACACGCACTAGGAGAAGAGAGACCATGGCACGCATAAGGAGAAGAGAGACCATGGCACGCATAAGGAGAAGAGAGACCAGGGCACACACAAAGGAGAAGAGAGACCATGGCATGCATAAGGAGAAGAGAGACCATGGCACTCACTAAGTAGTAGAGAGACCACGGCATGCATAAGAAGAGAGACCATGGCACGCATAAGGAGAAGAGAGACCATGGCACGCACTAAGGAGAAGAGAGAACAGGGCACACACAAAGGAGAAGAGAGACCATTGCATGCATAAGGAGAAGAGAGACCATGGCACGCATAAGGAGAAGAGAGACCAGGGCACACACAAAGGAGAAGAGAGACCATTGCATGCATAAGGAGAAGAGAGACCATGGCACGCATAAGGAGAAGAGAGACCAGGGCACACACAAAGGAGAAGAGAGACCATGGCACGCATAAGGAGAAGAGAGACCATGGCATGCATAAGAAGAGAGACCATGGCACGCATAAGGAGAAGAGAGACCATTGCACGCATAAGGAGAAGAGGTACCATGGCACGCATAAGGAGAAGAGAGACCAGGGCACACACAAAGGAGAAGAGAGACCATGGCACGCATAAGGAGAAGAGAGACCATGTCACGCACTAGGAGAAGAGAGACCATGGCACGCACTAAGGTGAAGAGAGACCATGGCACGTATAAGGAGAAGAGAGACCATTGCACGCACTAAGGAGAATAGAGACTATGGCACCCATAAGGAGAAGAGAGACCATGGCACGCACTAAGGAGAAGAGAGACCATGGCACGCATAAGGAGAAGAGAGACCATGGCACGCATAAGGAGAAGAGAGACCATGGCACGCATAAGGAGAAGAGAGACCATGGCACACATAAGGAGTTGTGCTTAGTCCTTCATGACATGAAATCTCATTCAGGAGTTTTCGGCAGTCTCATCTTCTTAACCAAAACCTGGATGTAGGTAGAATCAATGAGCATAAAAGATCTATCATCTGTCTTGAGTAGTGAGGACATGGAACGACCCAAAGTCTGCATCAAGCAGTAGAGTGGCTGCTCCTCAGCCTTAGAGGTAGCAACACTAGGCGCCGAAAAACAAGAGGAGGCTCTTGGCATAGAACACACATGCTTTGAAGCCCTGTACTGAGGCAACAAATGGGATCTGGAACACCGAGGATGACACTGACGGATGATGGGTGACGACGGAAGTAGGGGGCAGAGGCCAAGTCTGCAATGGGTGCGCCTGGGAATACGTGGGAACAGGCGGCGCCTGAGGCAGCAATGGTGATGGAAGAGCCTGCGCTTGCTGTGAGTAAAATGGGCTAGGCCAGGGAAAGGGCACTGGAATGGCTATGGATAAGCAGGGTGATAACGTGGCCGATGTAGTTTTTGTATATATTTGTTTCATTTCATTTCAGGTTTTTACATATATTTATTATATATAACTAGTTGTTAGTTTCAGTCAGCTATAACAAAGTGTATCTGACCTGTCTTACTTACTAACTGCCCATTGGCCAGAACATTCATATGCTGATTGGCCAAGCTAACACCTATTGTTAAACTACATGCTTTGATTACACTGCATCTGACAGAACTGCTCAGACCAGCAAAGCATAAAGAGATAATATTAAATCAGGTGAGTTAAATGGCTATAATCTAAATCTTGTGTTGTATTGAAAAAGTGCAGTATGTTTAAAGTGTTATATTAAGTAAACTAAATGTATGTAATCTAATATAAATGTTGGTTAAATTATTTAAATCTGCATAAGGTAAACCAAATGACAATAATTCATCACTAAAACATATTCTATCACTTCAATGAAATATGTGTGAAAGTGTTTTACTTCTAGAATGTTTTAAAAGCTTTGTAATGTAGAGATTCAGATGTGATACATGCAAATCATTGTAAATACAATGTGTGTATTATCTTGTTCAATATATTAAATGTTAAATAGTGTTTTAGTCTATGTATTATTTATTCAGATCATCTATGGTGTTGCTATAAGCATGGACCTATATATACAAGTCCGTGCTATAAGTGAGGCAGTGGGGATCCACACCCTTGTATCACCTACACCGCATTGTCTAAGACTTAAGATGTAATCTAGATGTTATGACCACATTTAATGTAATATTATCATATTATCATTAATTTATGTCTTAAAGTATTGTACATACAGAATGTGTGAAAGTTATGTATTTATATTGTGTATATATTACACAGCCAAATGAAAGTCAAGGAGTAATCTCCCTTGGATGTTGGTCTTGTGTAGCATGTATCTAGTATGCACACATGACCATGACATGCACACACGACACATGGCCATGACATGCACATACGACACATGGCCATGATATGCACACGACACATGGCCATGACATGCACACGTCACATGGCCATGACATGCACACACGACACATGGCCATGACATACAACAAATGGCCATGATATCCACACATGACACATGGCCATGACATGCACACGACACATGGCCATGACATGCACACGACACATGGCTATGACATGCCACATGGCCATGACATGCACACTTGACACATGGCCATGACATGCACACACAACACAATGCCATGACATGCACACACAACACATGGCCATGACATGCACACCTGACACATGGCCATGATATGCGACACATGGCCATGACATGCACACATTATACATATGCCATGACATGCACACACAACACATGGCCATGACATGCACACATGACACATGGCCATGACACACGGCACATGGCCATGACATGCACACACAACACATGGCCATGACATACGACACATGGCCATGACATGCACACACGATACATGGCCATGACATACGACATATGGCCATAACATGCACACACGACACATGGCCATGATATGCACACACGACACATGGCCATGACATGCACACACGACTGTGTTATATATGTGCAATATGAGGGTGTTGATACAAGCAGCATATAAAGCTATATACCCTATCCACACATGACACATGGCCATGACATGCACACGACACATGGCCATGACATGCACACGACACATGGCTATGACATGCCACATGGCCATGACATGCACACTTGACACATGGCCATGACATGCACACACAACACAATGCCATGACATGCACACACAACACATGGCCATGACATGCACACCTGACACATGGCCATGATATGCGAACACGACACATTGCCATGACATGCACACATGACACATGGCCATGACATGCACACACATCACATAGCCATGATATGCACACACGACACATGGCCATGACATGCACACAAGACACATGGCCATGACATACGACACATGGCCATGACATGCACACATTATACATATGCCATGACATGCACACACAACACATGGCCATGACATGCACACATGACACATGGCCATGACACACGGCACATGGCCATGACATGCACACACAACACATGGCCATGACATACGACACATGGCCATGACATGCACACACGATACATGGCCATGACATACGACATATGGCCATAACATGCACACACGACACATGGCCATGATATGCACACACGACACATGGCCATGACATGCACACACGACTGTGTTATATATGTGCAATATGAGGGTGTTGATACAAGCAGCATATAAAGCTATATACCCTACCTCCTCTGGTGAGAAGTAATCCATATGCACCGATATTGTCTGAAACAAAACAGAGAAAGTCAACAAGTTCAGTGTGAACAATACTGTATATAACAAGGCAAGTTCAGTGTGAACAATACTGTATATAACAAGGCAAGTTCAGTGTGTATGACACTGCATATAACAAGGCAAGTTCAGTGTGTATGACACTGTATATAACAAGGCAAGTTCAGTGTGTATGACACTGTATATAACAAGGCAAGTTCAGTGTGAACAATACTGTATATAACAAGGCAAGTTCAGTGTGTATGACACTGTATATAACAAGGCAAGTTCAGTGTGTATGACACTGTATATAACAAGGCAAGTTCAGTGTGTATGACACTGTATATAACAAGGCAAGTTCAGTGTGTATGACACTGCATATAACAAGGCAAGTTCAGTGTGTATGACACTGTATATAACAAGGCAAGTTCAGTGTGTATGACACTGTATATAACAAGGCAAGTTCAGTGTGTATGACACTGTATATAACAAGGCAAGTTCAGTGTGCATGACACTGTATATAACAAGGCAAGTTCAGTGTGTATGACACTGTATATAACAAGGCAAGTTCAGTGGTATGACACTGTATATAACAAGGCAAGTTCAGTGTGTATGACACTGTATATAACAAGGCAAGTTCAGTGTGCATGACACTGTATATAACAAGGCAAGTTCAGTGTGTATGACACTGTATATAACAAGGCAAGTTCAGTGTGTATGACACTGTATATAACAAGGCAAGTTCAGTGTGAACAACAGTGTATAAAACAAGGATTCCTTCAGGTTTGGAGGATTTCCTCTTCTAGCATGCAAATTCTTCATTAAAAAAATGTACACCCTGGTTCTTGATATCATCCCAAAAAGGATCGCAAAGTCCAAAATCTTGAAATTCTCATAACAACCTTTAAAATGATGTCAAGGTCACCATAATTGACTGGTGTCTGGAAATCCTCCATACACAACTTGGTGCCAAATATGAATTAAATGTACAAATTGGTTCTATAGATACCGTGCCAAAAAGGAATACAAAGTCCAAATCTTTGAATTCTCTTGTAACGACCTTGAAAATGATGTCAAGGTCACCAAAGCAACTGGCGTCAGGACATCTTCCATATACACCTTGGTGCCAACTATGAATTAAATGTATCAACTGGTTCTTGAGATATCATGCCAACACTTTTTTCGGACGGACGGACGGACAGACAGACAGACGGTCATGAATACTTTGTCCCCGCCTAACACTATCGCATGGCAGGGGACAACAAGGCAAGTTCAGTGTGTACACACGTCTTCATGAATCATTTCAGTGTTTCTGACATGTTATGGATCATGATTTGGAGGTTATACATGTTCTCACCTTGTTTTTGGTGGCCTCAACTTTATGTCTGAGACTGTCCAGTCTCTTCCTGGCATCAGCGCTCTCGCACTGGAACTTGGCAGCTCCCTTCTTGTCTCCAGCCTTCTCCAGACTCGATGCTTTCCCATCATCATAGCCCTGCACATGGATATACCACAACTGTCAGCCCTGCACATGGATAGATCACAACTGTCAGCCCTGCACATGGATATACCACAACTGTCAGCCCTGCACATGGATATACCACAACTGTCAGCCCTGCACATGGATATACCACAACTGTCAGCCCTGCACATTGATATACCACAACTGTCAGCCCTGCACATGGATATATCACAACTGTCAGCCCTGCACATGGATATATCACAACTGTCAGCCCTGCACATGAATATACAACTGTCAGCCCTGCACATGAATATACCACAACTGTCAGTCCTGCACATGAATATACCACAACTGTCAGCCCTTGATATGAATATACCACAACTGTCAGCCCTGCACATGAATATACAACTGTCAGCCCTACACATGAATATACAACTGTCAGCCCTACACATGAATATACCACAGCTGTCAGCCCTATACATGAATATACAACAACTGTCAGCCATATACATGAATATACAGCTGTCAGCCATATACATGAATATACAACTGTCAGCCATATACATGAATATACAACTGTCAGCCATATACATGAATATACAACTGTCAGCCATATACATGAATATACAACTGTCAGCCATATACATGAATATACAACTGTCAGCCATATACATGAATATACAGCTGTCAGCCATATACATGAATATACAACTGTCAGCCATATACATGAATATACAACTGTCAGCCATATACATGAATATACAGCTGTCAGCCATATACATGAATATACAACTGTCAGCCATATACATGAATATGCAACTGTCAGCCATATACATGAATATACAGCTGTCAGCCATATACATGAATATACAACTGTCAGCCCTATACATGAATATACAACTGTCAGCCATATACATGAATATACAGCTGTCAGCCATATACATGAATATACAACTGTCAGCCATATACATGAATATACAACTGTCAGCCCTACACATGAATATACAACTGTCAGCCCTACACATGAATATACAACTGTCAGCCATATACATGAATATACAACTGTCAGCCATATACATGAATATACAGCTGTCAGCCCTACACATGAATATACAACTGTCAGCCATATACATGAATATACAACTGTCAGCCCTACACATGAATATACAACTGTCAGCCATATACATGAATATACAGCTGTCAGCCATATACATGAATATACAACTGTCAGCCATATACATGAATATACAACTGTCAGCCCTACATATGAGTATACAGCTGTCAGCCCTGCTGTAGTTTCTGATCCTTGGAGTATTGCCCACCAGGGGATTATGTAGGTAGACCAGTGAGTGTTGTCTTTATAACAAGTGGAAAAGTGTAGTGATGGAGGGAGTGTTGTCTCATGACAAGCTTCTCAGTCACCTCTTTGTCTTGCATTTATGGAGGTATTTACGTACAAACTGTGTGACATTGTGGAAATCAGCTTCACTTCTTACAGAAATCAATAATTCCTACACAGACTGCTTATTTAATCATTACCGCACAAAAAGACTGTAGTCACTGATACAAAGTTTCGAGAAAAACATTTTTAGGTTTATGGAAAAATGCATGCAAAGAAATATTCTGGGCTAGCCAGTCTTATGTCATGCATCATTTATAGTTTATTGATTAAGATGTTTTGCTTAAAATGCTTGTATATTTAGTAAATGTGTTAAACCTTTTACACAAATGTTTGCAGCCTACAAACAATGATAATCTACAAACATTTTGGAAGGTAAGGAGACATGAGCCTGGCTCATATGGGTCACAAACATACATAATTATCATAACAGAGAAAAGTTTCTGTGGAGAAGGCTGGAAACTGGGGTATTGTCATCAAAAGACAATTTCATTAAAATCAGATCTTAGTTCTCGCTATTGCTAAACAAAGATCTGAGGACATCCCATTGTGGGCCACGACAGAACAACCTTCCATCCAACCAATTGAGGCGTCGCTTATCTGATCATGAGAGTGACATTCAGAATGTGTTATCTAATCATGCAACCTCCAAAACGGGGTATTTTGAAAGACAGTTACGGCCCGTATGACTGATTCCTTCAAAATTATCGTCTAACAATTTGAACGGAGTAGGCGTGGCACAGTACGTGGGAAGCACTGCAATACAATCTCAACCACATATAAGATAGTCCGGAATGTTTGTTTGTTCAGTTTTGAAAATTATTTTTCAAGCGTAGTCTGAAATGGAAGTCGCCAGGTTCAAACGAGTGCTGTAAAGCTCGAGAAAACTGCTTTCTAATTGGCTGATGTTGACTTCTTGTTAGTCATTTCAGTGGTCGGTCAAAGTTTGTGAAAGATCGTTCTGACGTGACCCGTAATGGCATGTCCTCAGACCATGTCACCAATAAGGAACGGTTGCTATCATTGTATTCATGTAACAGGGATCAAGTCAACCATTTTTCACAATTGTAGCAATAGGGTTGTTCACAACAAGTGTCATAATTAGTTGTGTCTATCTCTTTCTCAGGTATATTACTTTCATAGCTTAATCATGTTATAGGGTCAGTTCATTCTTGTTTTAAGGGTAGTCAAGTTATTCCATTTTAGTATAATTGTTTAACTGTCTTGATCAAAGGGCTGAAACCTAGTTCTTCGTCTTGTTTGGTGATTTTGAATATCTATGTCACCAGCCATCTTAACACCTGTCACCACTTATCACTATCACTGCACTGCACCACAGTACAGATCAGTTCAGTATTACTATCTGATGTGTAATAATCCGGAACAGGTAAGATTGCATACCCCCTCAACGTTTTGGGGATTAAAAGGATTGAGAGACAATGGATACATATATAACTTTTGGAGGGGGATTGTACAAGTGGAAGTCTTTCCCCGGAATATTGTAAATATGGACATGATGCTATTTAGGAAATAAATATGTTGTCTGTGTTGTGTATTCATTGTCAACAATGTTCGATAGTGTATGAATGTTATAGTTTGTTTCGTAATTTAGATAATCCTTGCAATTTTTATTTTAAAAGAGGTAAAAATGTTTACGGGAAATATATCTCCTTCGCTATATGTTAACCGGTATTTATCCCGCGATATGCCAAGGAGAGGCACGGGCCACCGAGCCGTGGATGCCCGTGCCTATAATAAAAACAGAAGATGAGATTGGGTTAAATGGCCGAGGGTGTGCAGGTACTAGTGGGCTACTAAGCTGCTAATTGTGTATACCAAAATGCTACCGTGGCCAACGGCGATTCGCAGCTAGCGCTGCTGGCCTGAGACTGCTACCGCTGTCCGGCCCCCACGTTACCATTGCTTGCCAAAAGCAGCTCCCCGCTGCTGGCCTAAGTCAGACTACCGCTGCCCGTCCCCAGGTAGCCGGCCAAAGCAGATCCCACTGCCTGGCCCCATTAGCAAAACCATTGTGCAACTATCGCCGCGGACCCAACTGTCAGCTACCGCTTGACAAGACGACTTCCGCCGCCGGGCCCATATACGTGGCAGTTGTTTGCCCTAACGTATGTTATTTTACGATTCCCTGGCTGAAAATTCGGGAAAGACAAGGTTCCCACTGAGAAGCAGGTAACCCCGAGTATTAATTTGGAAGCAAGTTAATTCGTTACTAGCAGTGTAGCCCACAAGAACCCCGCCACAAAGCACCAGAGTGCTACCCCACACCCACGGCCACGTGATACGCGGAGATAGCATTGTTGCCCCGCTTGCCTATGTACTGAAAAGAAACACTAACCTGTGGAGATAACATCCTTACTGGCCCTAAACAAACTCCTTCGCTAAATGTTAACCGGTATATATTTTGTAAAAATAGACTATTGCGCATTGAGTGATTATCTCCTTTACCTATAGAGCTTTATCACACGTGACCTTGCAATGCTGTACATCGTATCTTATTCAAGCTGTATCACTGAGAGTAAATGATTATCTCCCTTAGCCGAATAGCTCTTTTGCACACTACCTTTGCAATGTATCTCGTATGCTATTCAGACAGCCGGTAAGAAAGGTTCCAGTGAGGAATTCAGGTCAAGCATGTAACGCACACTGAATCTGTCTCCCTTCACACTGCACTACTAGGCTTCTAAAAAGTATGACTTTGTTCAATAAACAACAAATGTAACACAATGGGTTTGATATGAAAAAAATTGTAATTAGTTGTCTTCATAATCATATGTATGGTGCTTGCTGTACACAGTTGAGCACAGTATTGTTTCAAGTAATTCACTGTATGTGGCAGTTTACAGTTCTGCATGGTTTATTTCTTTGACAGTTTTTTTTTAACTTCAGACAGATTTAACAACTGTTTATGAGCTTTGCTTCTGGATACATAGGATATCCACAGGTTGGACTGTAGTTTGCAATTATTTTCCTAAAAAAATAATACGGTTGCATGAAATATTCAGAATGTTTGGGTTGAACATTGAAACATTCTTCTACACATACTTCACATCTACACTGGAAGTAATCACAACACAGTTCAAGTTAACCAAACAGAACTGTACACGAGAGTAATGGTTGAGTGAGTTGGGTTTAACGCCACTTTGAATAGTATTCCACTTATATCACAGAGTGTCAGCTTGACGTGGGAGGAACACCGAGGTGATTCAGGTTTTAGGCGTTCAACACTTTGGTGAAACCCGGGTATAGTACTGACAACATAATCAGGGCGAACCAGGATTCAAACACACTGTCAGGTTTCTGGCATGCCCAAGGGACACAACTCTGCATAGTGAATGCAGCACCTTAGGCGATTGGGTCAACCATGCCCCCGTACACAACCGTAACAAACTATCATACTACAAAGATGTTTTAGATGAGATATGTGTTGTGTAACATTCCATGAAGAAACAGTGGCAATATTACACTATCACAAACTACAAAATACATGCACAATAAGTGTAAAACACACAGGTACATTCAACATACAAAGAAGGTACAAGTGTTTTATAATGATATGGGAACACTGAGAATTGAGCCAAACTATGGTAATGTTGAACATACAAGGAATTTGTTTATAATTGTAGATATGACAACAGATCTTGGCATTTGTTTCTAGATAACTGTTGGTAAAAATTATTAAGAATTGTACCTTTTAACAGAGTGTAGCAACTTCTTTATCTGGATTATCAGGAATATTTGTGATTCTCTTTCTCGGTTGTATTTTATACAAGACGTCACATGTTCCACAGACGTTGCTCCGATGGGGTTGGTGTTTTTGTGTATCTACCAGTTTCAATTTGTAGTTTGTGATTACTTAAACAAGGTTTTGAGAAATGTGACCTATGAGCTTTGTTTTTACAATATGTAAGCCAACCTGTATGTTCTTGCCTTGCTGCTGGATAAATGGGAATCTCTTCATGAATGCATGAACATATTTTTACATTTGAAGTGCTGTTCATTTACAGAGGATTCTTCACATTTTTTTGTGTTTACTATTTCAAAAGTTTGTTTTATTTAACCCAGCCAACATTTTGACCAGAAAGATTTATATTTGCTGCCAAAACATATTTAAGAATGACATTTCTTGTGTTATCTATATAGGACTTGTAATCAATTGTTTTATATATTATTGGTACTAATAGTGGATATTTATACCAAGTTCTGCCTGACAGGCCAAGTTATGTGTTTTCTTGCCTTGGTTTTCCTTGTGCCGACCATTTAAAGATACTTTCTTCTTTGTGATTTCCAAAGATAGGTACAAAACTTCCTTCCTCTGCATGTGACATTACATGGCGGGGAACACCTGATGCACTGCAGCAATCTCGACTTGTATCTTATATTTATGCCTATTTCAATCACACCTGTGTAAATGATTCATATACTATCAGTAATGTTCAGCTGGTAGGTAATATATAGCTGTTTGTTTATGAGTTAATGTGATTAACTTATTATGCAACTACAATGCTGCAGATCATATATACATATATATGACATGACATTTTAATTGTCTTTTATGTTTTTGCTAGATATGTTTATTAATACTTAGCGACACAAACAGATCACACCCCACCACCTTGGTTATCATTAGGCTAGATCACACACACACACACACACACACACACAATCTACACGTTATATAAGTGCAATCATCTTGGACGCGGTGGTAAACCTCACCTCACCTCACCTCACCTCACCTCACCTCACCTCACCCAGTCACACATCGTTGCAAGAACCTTCTGGATCAGCCTCATACAGAGCTAGGTCATCACAAGACATCTTGCGCCTTGTGCGTTTTTGATCAGATGTCAGAAGCTTTGGAAGCCAACGAGCTGATACTTTCTTCGGGGCGGTCGGGTAGCCTAGTGGTTAAAGCGTTCGCTCCTTACGCCGAAGACCCGGGTTCCATTCCCGACATGGGTACAATGTGTGAAGCCCATTTCTAGTGTCCCCCGCCGTGATATTGCTGGAATATTGCTAAAAGCGGCGTAAAACCATACTCACTCACTCACTGATACTTTCTTCACATAGTCCAACTGTCGGTGATAATGGAATGTACTCTCTCCTGGGAAATGCCTACTACACTAGCAATATGATGCTGCAGACAATGTGCCACACATAGGCTCACTGGGACATGTGCTGACCAAGACATTTTTTTCTCTTTTGAAGGTTAACAACAAGCCAAGATGGCCAGTTTGATCCTACCTTATCCCTGAAGCAGAAGCATGCTGGAGTAGCCCCGGGCTTGTTGAGGTGCCCGTGCAGGAACTCCAGCTCCGTCACGCTACAGTTCCGCTTGTCCTTCAGCCAGGGGAATCGACTCAGTGCGTTGTCTATGTTCTGCTGGAGAGCTTTGTCCTGGAGGCCGTGCCACCCATACCTCTGGAAACCAACCACACTGTGTGTCAGAGGCCACAGCAAGCAACAACACACTCAACACTGTGGAACAGTCAGTCAGTATATTTCCAACTGAAACTTGCTGTTTAGACAGAGGCGTAACTACCATATAAGCAAAAGGAAAGTTGCATACACATAATGTTTCAATGTCAGTGATTGCCTTTCCTGGGAATGCATTGGTTTGCCTGCAAGGGTAATTTCCCTTTATCAAAGGGAAGCTACTCTAGTCTATGAAAAATCACATTTGTTTAATCTGCCTGGCCTGACATAATGTCAAGAAACGCAGTCAGATGTCCCACACAGCGACAAAATGCAAGAAGGTAAAATATATTTTATCCAACTGTTTCCTATTGTGGAGAGACCCCAAGCCACAGATACAAAGCACCAGCACAAATATGGATGCTTTGCACATCGTGTCTTCACACACATTAATTTGCAATTAATGTTTCCAAAGTTGCCTGCACTTGTGAAAGGCCTCAGCGACACCCTGTTAGAAAATCAGCCATAGACAAGGGAAGATACCATGTTCGTTTTTAAACACTGAAAGTAGTACCTACCTGCATTTATGTAAACTTAACATTTGAAACCTCACTCTTTGTGTTCAGATCCAATTTTAATAACACATTGAAAACAGTAATCTCTCTATGTGAACAAAGCCAGTTGTGAGATAGTGTGAGACATCGCTCTGGAATGCTAAGACATCATGATACAAGAATGAAATCATGCTACCATGAAAACTGAGAAAAAATAAGTAAATCAAACTTAACATATGATTAATGTGGCAAAATTCAAGATTGTGAAAAACATCGCTGTGGAAAGTCCATAAGATTTGGAGGATCAAAATCAGGTGATGTTCAACAGGCCTGCATGAACACTACTAGGGGAGCACTAGTTACAGTTGCTGTGAAGAAAGGGAAACAATACTGCCATAGACAAGGGGTGGTGTTATTACAGCTGAACTGGATAGAAATGCCCTCAACATGATAATATTTCTAAAACATTTCATCAACAAGGGAGCAAGTCACCTCAAGTCTTATTGAGTAATTTGGTCTTGGCCTTTGAAGCTGTCAACTTCGGGGGGAGACATTATTGTGAGCTGTGCCACCATCAGTATTCTGACTTTGTAACTGACACAGATATTGCACTGATCAATACTAGCACTGACGAGGACATTCAGTGTATCAAACTACTTTCTAAATATAGTTAACAGTATGTCAAGTGTTTTCTCATCTCAATCATTATTGTCTTCTAAATATATGCCCTGGACTTTATAACCCCCAATATCTTCAGTGACTTGTGGCGCTACTCAATCCTGTGAGTTGACAGCAGTAAGGATCACATGGTCAGATGTCACGTTTGTTTATGTGAGAATGCAAATTAGCTATGACGTCATATGGAAACGTGATTGATTGTGGCCTGCATGAGGTTAGGCAAAATTGGGGCATTATCAGTTACAGTAGGTCATAATTGTGGGACATTTTATAATTAAATCTATTTCCGGTGTAATTAATGAAATAGAATTTTATGATAATTAAAAGTCTAAAATCCTAGTATCATGGCTTTGCATTAAATATTAACTAAGGTAGGTACATAGGCTTATTCATTATTAGTGGGAACTCAAATATTGTGAAGATGTGCAGTGCTTGATGTATGTTTTCATTTCCGTTCTGCCTTGTGGAGTGAGTAACACAACCAAGGAGCTAGGCACCATTTACTGCTTCTTCCTCATTTAAGGTTAGGAATTTGTGATGTCTTGTAATCCATTTTGTGATATCACCAATTCAGGTTGATGAGTGATTTAGTGTGTAATTTTCACTAATTTGATTTGCTGGTGTCTACAGATACATCAGTTGTATTGATATCTGAAAATCAAATTTGTAATATGTATTGTTGCTGTCATAAAAATGGGAATATTTCATAAACAGCACCTGGGGCTGCAGGGGTAGAATCAAACTATTTACCTGTCACTTCCAAATGTACATCGGCAAAACATATGTCATCAAATAAGTTAGATAAATGATTAATTTAGTTAGATACATTTGAAAAATTACTACAATGCTACACTGATCCAACGCATTCCCTATATATTTTCAAATGTGTTAGGGAGGTATAGGGTTGTGATTGAACACATATATTTCTGATATATTCTGACGTAAAAAGAGGTTTTTGGTCTTAATGTTGATGGGTGACATCTTGGGGGGAATGGAAACTAATAAAACATAAAAATTGGAAACGCGATTTTTCTCTACATGGCAACCGAGACCATATACCGTGATAGTCTCTGATGGCAAGATATAGCGGCTCGCAAAAACCCTTGTTACATTATATACGGTAATCAGCTGACACCAAAGACCATATATTCTTTAACAGGCGTCTGCGCACCTGTCCGTAGAATCCGACGAATATGTCGCATCTGTCCACCTCTTTCAGACATATGTTGACGGTCTGAGCTTTGTCGGCAGCCTCTGATGTAATGCCCCACCGCATGTCAACGGGCACAAACTGCACCCCTCGCGAGCTGCACAGGTGTTGCAGTTGGGGGAAGTATTTCCGCGTTAGTTCGTCCCGCTCCTCCTCCATTCCCCCAAAAGGCGAGGAGAAGAAGATTCGACATGTCCGGGGATCTTTAAGTTTGCCTTTGACACATTTCGACATCCTAAAAACCTCTATGAATTTCGATAAAGGCGCGATAGATGTATGTCCTAGTCGGAAGGCCTCGCCGCGCGTCAACCGTTGTCAGTGTAAACAGGAAGTTATCTCTAAATACATCACAAAAACAGCAGTAAAATGGTGTTTGACTGTAGTCGAAATTCGGAGCGGTAATATGAAATTATATTCATGACAAATTAAATTATAAAATACATAATAAAACACTTGAATTCGATTTCCGTTAAACGATATATCCTTTTCATTAAATTTCAACAATCCATCTCGTGAATATATATAACCGCGAGTTTTATCGATCAAAATGACAGTGGTCGAGTCTAAACACGCACGCGTCATCGAGGGACTTGATCTAGTCTAGCACCCACCGCAGCCATCTACTGCATGCTTACCAGTCTGGGCTTGTCTCCACTTCATTGAAATTAAGTTTAATGTCTCATTTAATGACTCTACATTAAACAAACAATCAAACAAAGTACAACAGTATTTGTTTGAACGAACCTTCTACTTGTTCAAATATTTCTGTTTGGGAGTTTTCCTCTCTTAGGATAAAAAAGGAAATGTTCCTCGGGCGTCGGCGCGTCACTTCAGTGAAACCCTGTGCGTCAGTCATTTTTTAATGCCAAAAACAACAGCAACATATTTTTCAAATTTCCCGCATGACTTGATGAACATGAAGAAGTATGTTCTGTTATGCATATCATAAGATGCTGGACAACTGACATTGTATGAAGCAATGTGTGCACAGTTGTTGCTTGGGGGCTTTGGTTCTTGTCTTTAAACGTGTTCCTCCCTTATCCCTTGTGTTTTCAGCACAAAATAAAGCCCTAGCTGCTGCTCTCCTCACATTTGAGAAAAAGGTGCTCGAGAAACATTTAATTTTTATGCAGCCTTATATATTGTGATGGTCCAAGGGCTAGAGTCAGTGGTTCGCGGCTTCAGGTCTCTTTGGGTGCACAAAGTATGCAGCTCACTTGAAAGTGCATGTCCAATATATCTTGCGCCGTAATGCTTTGTTTGTTTGTTGTTTATTAATGCCGCAATATTCCAGCTACATATGGCCGTGGGCTGTAGGTAATCGACAGAAATGCCAGTGATTGTGATATTAAACAATATAAGTACTGATATACAAAGAATTCGAATAAGTGAGCGATTTAGCGAGTATCACAAATTTGATTTATTAATATCCCACGCTGTCGGGGTACGAGCTGGGACACCTACATTTTAACTCACTCACCCAAATGAACAAGCTCCGACGTCCATACACTGTTTGGCCCTCACTCTATTGAACTCACACAAAGTGAAAGTCAATTCTTAAAATGTTTTTTTTATGTGGTGCGCGTGACTTCATGTTTACACTGACAGCCATACAACAACCAGCTGTGTCGCGGAATAAAATAGTTCCTCAAAAATGTATTGTCATTGTGATTCACTTACTGAGGTACTTCTTAACACACCTTTCTCATCCAATGATGATATTATTCGAATACAATTGTAAACAAACTACAACTGATATGTTCCTGCAGAGCAAGTTGAGCATACATGCGCTCACGTCACCTCTGGAAACTGGACTTTAATTCAAGAAATACACGAGTGAGAGTTGTTTATGGTGCAATATAATATTCGCGATAAATCGCAAAGGACAAAGGGGCGTGTTTTATTTCACGGTGAAACATTGTTCTGTGATGTCGTCATTTTTTAAGATTGGAACATGCGCGGGGAACTTGATGACGTCGTAAATTGGACGACGTTATTTTTCAGAGGGAAGTTTCTAGTGAGTGAACTTGTTTGTATGGATGAAGCTGTTAACGTAGATAAACGCAGTGGCCGAACAATCGCTTCCAAAAGTGAGGGAGATATGACAAACGGCTTTAGGAGAAAAGGAACAGATAATCGACTTGAGGATTGTGAGAATATGAGGGAAATACCAAACCTAACCCACGTGTTCGTAAAATGGACTTGTCCGACACTGCCGTGGTCGGATTCTATTCAGGGAGTGTACTGCTGACAGCTTCAGTAGCAGAGCCATTAGTGATGTCATTTGATTGTGACGTCATGGTTACAATTGTGCAAAGCATTGTGATGCAATTTCATTGCAGTGATATCTACAATGTAGATATAGAGGATATTTTATGTGTCGAGTGAAATATCATGTTTCTCTCATCGAGTGACGGGGGAAGGAGATATTTTTACGAGTGGCGTAGCCACTAGTTAAAAAAATCACCTTTTCCCCTTTCACGAGAAACATGGAATATCCTATTTATGATATACTTTTTGTGCAGTTGTCTACCGGAAAAATAAATTTTAAACTAGTTCAGTACAAATGTAAAACCTTGAAACGTAAATTCTCCCTGCCTGACAAACAGGGACGGTTCACCACCCCTTGTATTTGCAACTTAAAAAGTAGTTTCTTGTTTGCAAAATCTTAACCAATTGTAAACAAAAGTATAAAAAAATATTTAGGGTCATGATAATTATTTATCATACATTTCGATATGAATATATACAAAACCAACTTTAACAAAAAAAATATTATTGAATACTAGGAGATCGCTGAGAGAAGCGAAAGAATACAGGCTGGTCAAGTAACAAAAATGGCACTCTGCAAAACGAACAGCCTCGATTGACGAGTTAAATGAGAGATTTACAGTTTTTCGAGAGAAGAATAAACGGCTAGAAGTGATATTAACTCCATAAATCACCATAAATATTTATTTTGCTTTGTCAATGTGGAATAAACGTAAAAAGAACGTTAACAATCGTGTCCTGGCTAGTCACATACGACGGAGGGAGACAATTAAAGGGGAAGTAGCTCTTGTATGACAATAGTACCGTCAACGTGTTATGTTCAGTGCAGTGAAATATCAAGGGTTTATGTTCACTGCAATGAACATATCACTTTTCTCAACTTCGGAAAACTCAGTCTTTCACGCTGAAGTATATAACAAATCACTTGATCTCACCCAAGCGATATATCCTGTGGGAGCCAGTTTTGGGTGATAAATTGATAATAATCGTCTCTTGTTTATTTCTTAAATAAGAGGTAGCTACGCGATAAATCGCAAAGAACAATGAAGAACGAAGCGTGGTTTATTTCACGATAAAACATTGTTCTATCACGACGTCATTTCTGGAAATTCGAACATGCCCTCGTAACTTGGTGACGTCGTAAATTTGGACGACGTTATTTTTGAGAGGGGAGTGTCTAGTGAGTTGTTCCCCATAGATGTAGCTGGGCAACACAGATAAACGCGATGACCGAAAGATAGAAAAAGCGGGAGAGATATGACAATCGGTATTGGGAGAAAAGGTACAGGTAATCGACTTGAGGAGTGTGAGAATATGCGGGAAATACCCACCTGTGTATAAAATGGACTTGTCCGACATTTCCGAGGTCGAATTCTATTCAGGGAGTCATCATTGTTACAATTTGGGTAAATATTTCTAAAGCTTGTACATTTTATCAACATCCTTAAGAGGCTACACATAATGTTGAAGAATTAAACGACCGACTCGTGGTCGTTGTTTATCGTACAATTAAACCCTGCAGGGAGAATAAACCATGAGGGGCGTTGCAGTGTTTTATTGTACCATAAACAACTAGCACTGGTCGTTTATTTAATAAATGGATAATAGTAGTATCTTTGAAGTGACGTAGTAGCACAGGTTGGATGACAGTCAAATAATGGCAACTGTTTTTGTTGTTGTTTTTGTTGGGTTTTTGTTGTTGTTGTTGTACGTTTGTACGTTGTTAAACGCTTCGCTCACCAATATTCCAGCTATATGACGGCGGTCTGTAATAATTTGTCCACTCAAGAGCGTACCCAAAAAGAGGGATGTTCACCCCAGACACCACAGGTAGTTGCCTCTTACTGAAAGCATGGCCGGGTTGCTGAAGACCAATTCTAACCCGGATCTTCACGGGTGTAATGGCAATTAAGTGATGTAGATATACATGTCAAGGCTACATAGTAATTAGCTTTTTTAATTAAATGTCCTTTCGGACAATGGCTTTCCTGAATTGATAGTTATGACAGTGTTAAATTCCCTCTTATAATATATAATTTCACTATCTTAGTTCAACATTTCTTAAAATGAAACAGGGATTTTCGAAGCCGTTCGGCGACAAGGCAACGACTTGGCCCCTGTCTTCTAGGATAAGAGCGTTAAGCTTAGTGCGCAAACCAGTAGTGGAACCAGTTAACCAGGGATCAAGGTGAAGGCTAAAACTAACTTGGCGCCGTCTCCAAATACACACTGAAATGGCGCAATATAGATAACCACACTCGCGATTGAGCAGTAACTGTCAGGTATGTTTGTCAATTTGTCCGAAATAAGATACCAAGATCTGGTGCACGTTTAGAAGTAGCTGTAGTTGAGTTCGTAACCAAACCAATTAGTAGCCACTCCCCTCAGGCCCCTGAAGAAGGACAGTAATACTGAAACGCCGGGCCCATGTTTTGATCTTTTGGTCCGGTGTAGTGATATCACTATCCTGCTTCAGGGGCCTGTGCCACTCCCAACTGGTAGACAAACCTCACGGTGAACTCGTAAACAAATATAATAGAAAAACATAACTCAAAAAGGATTTATTAGATCTACTGATAACAAATAAATATTGAATTATTACGATAAAGACCAGAAACTTTGGCATCCAGCGAGCAGATATTAGGGATCCTAAACGATTGTGTAATGTTGCCTTCTAATCAATAAAAAGAAGACTACTATTAGATCTACCATTGAGAAAAGGTTCCACAATTTTTAAAAAATTAAAATATACACTCATTGCGGTATAAATGACTTTGATAGGTGTTGAGAATTAACTGTTACTTGAATGAAAGGGGGGTAACTCTTGTATCTGTCTGTTACAGTTGGCTTATTCACCCACCTTAAAAAAATACAAAAACAGATTTTATTACCGAAATAATGCAATTAATATTTTCATGAAATATGTTTTCACCTCAGTACACAATAGAAATTACTTTGAATAATAAGAAAGCATTGTTTTATGAAAAATGAAAGACACCAAACTCTGCCCAAACAAGTCCATGGTCCACCACTGTATGGAGCTCGGGGGCGTCTGCTTCTCCAAGATATGATATTTCCTTACAACTATTAATGAATGACTTGGTCTTCATTACACAGTGGCCTCAGAAGAATAGTATTTAGAGTTATATCCCCTTACTTTCTTGACATACCTTCACCACACATTATGGATTTTTTTATCTTCCAAACCTAATAAAATAAAGTTACCATGGCTCATCAATTTGTGCATCTGATGCGCAAATATTAAGAGTGTATTTTAACATATTAATTTTCACAATTATCATAAAATAAACAATAATAAACTGGAAGTGTTTCAGAGTGGTTTCAAGAGTGATTAAAGAATATCCTTATCACTATTCACTACGGTTTATTCAACTGTTATTACTTTATGTCTATACATCATATATATGTTTCTAATGTTTGGCATAACATTTCAACATATGTTTGAAGAAAATGGCAATCAATTTACAGTGCATTTAGCATTCACTTAACTATTCATATGTCTGTGTTTCACAGCATCCTTCCAATGAAATGATTTGTTTGTTTGCTGTTTAACGCCGAACTCAGCAATATTCCAGCTATATGGCGCCGGCCTCTGAATACTCAAGTCTGGACCAGACAATCCTGTGATTAACACCATGAGCATCGATCTACGCATTTGGGATACAATGACATGCACCATGTCAACGAGCCAGGCCACACAATCCCGTTAGTAGCCTCCGACGTCGACGTGCATGGGTTGCTGTACATCCACTTTAACCTGGATTTGATATTACCATGACAACTTGAGATATATATTGGTAATCATCTAGCCAGCAAAATACAGTGAACATGCATGTTTTAAATTTTGTACATGTTTACACAGTGTTTAGTTTTTGCAATATTATGTCTCGATCTACATCTTCTTTTATCATGACATCATTTCTGTGAATCGAATAAGCGCTCTCAACTTGATGACGTCATTTATTGGATGACATTATTTTTTAGAGGGAAGTGTCCAGTGGGTTTTCCCTATAGATGTAGCTGTTCCACACAGATAAAGGCAGTGGCAAAACCATCACACCCAAAAGTGGGAGACATACATGACAATCAGTATTAGGAGAAATGGTACAGATAATCGACGTGAGCATTGCGAGAATATGCTGGAAATACCAAATGTTACCCTGCACTTGTCCGTAACATGGACAAGTTTCATTTCTGTTTGCCATGACAATCTGATTGTTAATTTAGTGGTAAGTGCATATTCATATCTTCTCATTTATTTATACTTAACACATCTATTTTTTAAAAACCTGCATACTTCATTATTAAATACATTCCTGTATTTATGATGTTGTTCACTAAACATCCATATCATAATAAATTAAGTGACTTAGTATGATATTCAAAATGTACGTACCAAATACACACTTTTGATTTTTCTATTTTCTTATGACTAAAAACTGTATGTATACCTATTTATACTTATAATGGTAATATTTCGGACAACGTTAAAAGGGGGAATTCCAGAAAAATTATTAATAGACACTACAGGTACGGGACCAGTTGGTACACAGTTTTGAAGTTTGCACGAGAATGGTCAAACAAGCCTGAAACAAAAACAAAGAAATTTCGAATTATTTAATAGCACAGCATAAACAGTTTCATAGACCTCAGTGTTAATATTAACTAATTTGTTTCTCGTGCTCAATGCAATTTTTTCAACCGAACTGTAAACACTTTTCTATCCCGGAATGGTCATAACTGCACCTAAAATAAATTTATTATTATACATCTAAACTAATATTTAATATCACCATTACATTATCAAATGGTTACAAATAAATGCAAAACTTACAGGGTATCTGCTACTCATATATTAGGCACTCCTCATCATATTTTGACCACATGCTGAATGTGTATTCGTCTCGTGCAATCCGTGTTGACACTTCATTTATACCCGTGCAAAATAACACCGGGCATGTCATTTCCGGTTCGTTTTATTCTTTAAATTAATTAAAGCCGTTATTATTTACACATAAAAAAAAAACAATGTTGCGTGCGATCTTCCTGTTTTATTACAGTTGTATTTATCAAATGCCTTTATCTTCAATATTGTCTCCATGATAGTTTTCTTACTTACCGACATGGAGAAATAAGTCATAAAATTCACAACGGTTAAACTACATGGTCATAAAGTTACACATTCGGAAGTGTAGAAAATATTTACTTTTTTTCATCTAATTAAAATCAATGTAAACCGTAAGAATAATTCCGCCTGGAATAACAAGTTGAGCCGATGTGAATGATCGATCAGCACAAACGGCAGCCATTACAGCCGAGTCGGGATCGGACGTGGGATGGGCACTCTGCGTTTGGATCCTACTGACATAAACTGGATACTGGGATATGCTGATTTCGTGATAATTATGTTAAGTATTGCTATTATTGGTTATTCAGGTTGTTTATTTGTCGGATACGTGCATATTAAAGAAGGATTGCAGCTTTTATTTCAAGCCATTTTGCAGTTCGTAAAGCCCGCTCATGGCGACCCGGGGAATCCCGTGACGTCATTAGGCTGCCTACAGATATCTTATTCATCTGTAAATGTTCATGAATAATAGTTTCAATGGATCCATGGCTTAGACCTGTGTCTTCCTCAAGTTCAGCAATGGTAATATGTCTATCTGACAGTATATAAGTTTTTCTATCTCCTTGACATCTTCCCGAGGCAAGGGAGTTAACTGACTTTAAGGGGCACTGATCTAAAGCAATTCCCCGGGACTGGTTGTTGCCTTTGTTATTGTTTTTCCCCCGTGAGTACCCGGATGATACGCAACGCAACTGAGCGTGACAAGAGACTGGGCTACCGTCTGCAAGGACAGCAAAATAAACTTGGAGGCAATATTTTTTTACCCATTTTTGAACACTGATTGGTTAACCGTGATCTATAAAGATTTCAACAAAGGACGATAACTTTTAAAACTTCCGAGCTGTCTCTGAACCTCGCCGCCCTTGAGCGCTGTATTGATGACATACGATCCTGGATGAGCTTCAATTATCTCAAACTCAATGAAGAGAAGACTGAGTTTTTAATCCTTGGTTGGAGACAGCAAGTCAGAAAGCTTCACCCTGACTCTGTATACCTTCATATTGGTGATACCCCTGTGTACCTAACTGCCAGTGCCCGTAATTTGGGAATCACCTTTGACTCAACAATGGCCATGGACACTCATATTTCACTAACCAGCAGAGCATGCTACCATAGCATCTATAACATCAGTAAAGTCCGCCATCTACTTGATACTCCAAAAGTGAAATTGTTGATGCAATGTCTTGTGACATCCAAACTGGATTACTGCAATGCATTGTATGCTAATCTTCCCATGAAAGCCATATCAAAGCTACAACGCATTCAGAACCCTGCAGCTAGATGCATCTCTAAAGATCGAAGATCCAATCATATCAGTGTTGTCCTCAAAGCACTACATTGGCTTCCAGTCTCCTTTCGTATAAACTATAAGATATGTATCATCACTCACGACTGCCTCAACAATAGCGACTATCCAGACTATCTCAAAGATCTTATATCCCTGTACTCTCCAGAGCGTGCTCTCCGATCCTCTGGTGGAACTCTACTGTATCAGCCTCTGTCTACTTCTGCTATGTCTGACCGTGCCTTCTCCTTTTGCAGTCCACAGTTATGGAACTCTTTGCCTTTGAATCTGAGAAACTCTGCTTCTAAGGAAACGTTTAAGTCTCTCCTCAAAACCCACTTCTTCACTTCAGCTTTTCAATAGATTTCCTGATTGTTGGCATATGTACATAGACATTACATTTTAACTTTGTCACAGCGCCAGTGAGCAACTGTCGATGGATATTAGGCGCTTTACAAATCAATTATTATTATTATTATTATGTTAATTAATTTCTTTCGCTTGAACAAACAGACAAAAAGAACGGCGGAGCTCATCATTTGGAAATACCCCTGATTGTTATAGTATCAATGCAGTGAAACAGGATCAGGTGGTCAGGCTCGCTGACTTGGTTGATGCATGTCACATTGGAGGTCAACTAATGTCCTGAAATCATTTGGTACTTGAAGGGCTTGAACTCAATGCAGAAACTGTGCAGAGTTTTATGCTTTCAGTCTGACTGCTTCTGCCTTGGATTTTTTAATCGCATTATTGGCCTTTTTCTGTCTGCTCATATTTGATTAGCATGTCCACAACTTATGTCAACTTATGCCCTTTCAGTACCAACACTGATGATGTCACAAATAATCCCTGACAGGCATTCATTGTGTGGAACAGGACTGAGGGCAGCAGTTGGGTTATTGTACCCAATCAGGATGTTAGTCATAAAAGGCTAGTTCCAGGTTGTTATTTTAATTATTCACATTATCAAGATCAAAGATAACACTTCACACTTTCCTCCCAGATCGCCTAATTTCTCCGCTCAAGGTACCAAAATACAATTAGGTGATGTGGGTGTGCCATGCCTGGATGAGTTTTATAATTAGTTAATGTGGGTAGTTGGAACAGTCCACTTTACTGAATGAAGGGATGACAAGACAGCCAGCCTTCTTGGCTCATGCTGATGTCCATTTTGCTGTGCCAACTGATGGATACATAATTCCTTGAACCTCTGCATGGATGGAGTATGTTTGTAGAAACAAACGAGGTGATGAAAAGAAAGTTCCGTCAGCATACATGATGTCTACATTGCACAAATGTTCTAAATTCTCTCTTGTGGCAGAGATAAGAATCTTGTCATCTTCTCCATGATCAGCAATCAGAAATTGTTCTCCTGCATCAGTTTTTGTCCAGCCTTCTTCCAAGGGAACTGTTGAACTGGTCTTTGGAAGTCTGGGTATGTTCTTCTGTCTTTCTCCAAAAAGTTTGAAAATGGCAGAGATAATCCTCAGGAACTTCATCAGCATGTCGTCTGAGGTTGGCCAGTTCATCAGCATAAATACTTGGGATAGGTGTAGTCTCAGTTCTGGCACGATCAAGAAGCTTGCTTCTAAATGCATCAACGTGATGGAGATAAGGAGCTAATTGGTGATTGTGGTCTGGGCCGATCTTTACTGGTCTGTTCACAACTGTTATAATGTTTCCCTTGCAAGTAGCCTCAGTACACCTCCAGTAGACTGCATCATTCTTCTTTCTGTTCACTCTTGTAACCTCCATGATAAGCATATCTACCTCCCCAAAGATGAGGTAGAAAGGAGACTGCCATTTTGATTATGGAGAACAGGGCGAGACATTTTCCTATTATATCTGTGTATATCCTTCTCTTCATTTGAGAAAGGCAAAATTTACTGATCTCTCTATCTCAGTGGATTAAGATTCTTTACTCATGTGCAAGCTATACAACGCTAATATTCCCACTTAAGAGCAGTGTTGTTTTAAGGCTTAATCAGCTATGACTTCCCCGTTGCTCAACATGGCCTACTCCGGGCAATCTGGGCTGACCAGTAATTAGACAATGTGGGTATTAATTGGTTTAGGAAATTAGAAGATCTGGGTATACTCCGTGTGGAATAGGACTGAGGACAGCAGTTGGGTTATTGTACCCAATCAGGATGTTAGTCATAAAAGGCTAGTTCCAGGTTGTTAATTGTTATTTTAATTATTCACAATATCAAGATCAAAGATAACATTTCACACTTTCAACAATGTATGCCAAGTTGTTATTTTTGTAGGGTTAACCAAAGTAGTAGTAACAGCATTGCATGTATTGCCACTAAGAATCACAATATAAACGTCAGCCAATTTAAACATTTGTCACGATCAGCGACGGTAAATCTACATGATCTAGGTCATCCCCAACAATAGGTATTGGAAGCCACTCTACGTGTATGATTTTAGCACTTTCACTTGGAAACTAAAACATTATGTTAAATACTTATAGCAAATATTACAAATTTTTCTCTATCAGAAATTGTCTCAAAGTGTCCCAAGACAATTGAACTTCACAACAAAATCACAATAATTATTTTCAGTATACATGGACTTTAGTAACTTCTGCATGGTTACAGCAAATGATGTAAGTCTATGATCAATCTGCTCCGGGCCGTGATGAGTGAGTGGTATCAGTGTAATGCTAGACAGGTGGTAGGAAGTAAGTGCTCTAAGCTCTGTGTTTCAGGTGTGCTCGATGTTCTGTGTTTCAGGTGTGCTCGATGTTATGTGTTTCAGGTGTGCTCCATGTTGTGTGTTTCAGGTGTGCTTCATGTTCTGTGTTTCAGGTGTGCTACATGTTCTGTGTTTCAGGTGTGCTTGATGTTCTGTGTTTCAGATGTGCTCCATGTTCTGTGTTTCAGGTGTGCTACATGTTCTGTGTTTCAGGTGTGCTCCGTGTTCTGTTTCCAGGTGTGCTCCATGTTCTGTGTTTCAGGTGTGCTCCATGTTCTGTGTTTCAGGTGTGTTCCATGTTCTGTGTTTCAGGTGTGCTCCATGTTCTGTGTTTCAGGTGTGCTCCGTGTTCTGTGTTTCAGGTGTGCTCCATGTTCTGTGTTTCAGGTGTGTTCCACGTTCTGTGTTTCAGGTGTGCTCCACGTTCTGTGTTTCAGGTGTGCTACATGTTCTGTGTTTCAGGTGTGCTCCATGTTCAGTGTTTCCAGGTGTGCTCCATGTTCTGTGCTCAGGTGTGCTCCATGTTCTGTGTTTCAGGTGTGCTCCATGTTCAGTGTTTCAGGTGTACTACATGTTCAATGTTTCAGGTGTGGTACATGTTCTGTGTTTCAGGTGTGCTACATGTTCTGTGTTTCCGTTGTGCTCCATGTTCTTTGTTTCCGGTGTGCTCCATGTTCTGTGTTTCAGGTGTGCTCCGTGTTCTGTGTTTCAGGTGTGGTACATGTTCTGTGTTTCAGGTGTGCTCCATGTTCTGTGTTTCAGGTGTGGTACATGTTCTGTGTTTCAGGTGTGCTCCGTGTTCTGTGTTTCAGGTGTGCTCCGTGTTCTGTGTTTCCGGTGTGCTCCGTGTTCTGTGTTTCAGGTGTGCTCCATGTTCTGTGTTTCAGGTGTGGTACATGTTCTGTGTTTCAGGTGTGCTACATGTTCTGTGTTTCAGGTGTGCTACATGTTCTGTGTTTCAGGTGTGCTCCATGTTCTGTGTTTTAGGTGTGCTCCATGTTCTGTGTTTCAGGTGTGGTACATGTTCTGTGTTTCAGGTGTGCTCCGTGTTCTGTGTTTTAGGTGTGCTCCATGTTCTGTGTTTCAGGTGTGGTACATGTTCTGTGTTTCAGGTGTGCTCCATGTTCTGTGTTTTAGGTGTGCACCATGGACAGTGAAGTGCAGCGAGATGGTCGTCTGATGGACATCATAGATGAGAAGTGGCGTGAAGACAGACTGCCGATGGAAGACATCATGGTGCCTCAGTTGGAGCTGCCCGAGATAGAGCCGGACAACGGCCCCACCACCGAGACTCTCCGGGAACAGGAGCAGAAGTGGTCTGACCTTGCATTGTCAGTGTTGCATGATCAGCCACCCACAGCTGGCAACAGCTGAGAGCACCAGGAGCTCATACATCCTGTTTGTTTGCAGGACAGATGTGTTGTCACATGGTAGTGACAAGTTATTGTGGATAATGTTTGTGAAGAGAGTGATGTTTCTGTGGAACAACTTCATTAATGTGTTCTGTTCAACATGTACAAAGAGAGAGCAATGTACAGATGTGTGTGATAAACCATGTGGTTGTCTCCGTGGTAACCAATGTCCAGATGGACAGTCATATGTCATATGTAAATGATGGTGAAATAAATGTTGGAACCTTTCTGGTACTTCTGTCTGAATCTTATCTGGAATGTATTGCTGGGCCGATGCTATGTCCTCCTAGGAATCCATTTTACTAAATGTTGAGCCCCCAGAATGTTGTTATGTTTAGCTCAACTGGACAAACACCTGTACAACTTCTGCAGTGATGTATTGTCTAGTTTTTAAAGGGAAAGTAAAGACAACAACTTCTAGATTTTTCTACTTAGGCATACTTAATCACAAATGCTTCACCAAAATTTAATTTGAAAAACAGAATTAGCATAAAATTGATGATAATAGAAAAAACAGGCTATAGTAGTGGTGGTGGATAGATCATCTGCACCGAGAGTGGAAGGTCAGTGGTCGATCCGATGTCATACCAAAAGATGTTAAGTGATGGTACTTCTTGTTAGCCTGCCTGGCATTCAGCATTTAGGAGGGAAAGCGAGGACATGTCGGTGTGGTATTTCGGTAGGCTGGCACCATAAAACTGGCATAAGTCCAGACTAGTACAAGCAGCCACACAGGTGCATGCACATCTCTAGGTAATTATAAGTGCAATAATCTTGAATGCAACCTTAAGCCCCTTTTCACCTCACATCTTAATATCTCAAGGGTTTTTGTCAGACAGGTCAAGTTAGACAGACAAAATTCAGCAACTATTTGGTAGGTCACATGACAGTGACAATAAACCCCAATTATTTCTGACTGGTCTCCAGGTGATAAGATGATCAGGGTTTTTATTTAGATTCTTGTCCTGGTGCATGTTGAGAGTCAAATGTGCAGTGACCTCAACATTCACAAACAACATTGGTAGAACAAGTAATATCCTGTTTCACAAAGACCTGGTGTCATCATTTTAACCCAACAGTCATTCAATGGTGGAGGTTTTTTAATTTGTCACTTCCACTTTGTCCTGTGACAAAAATTACTCTTGATATTTTTTGGCTGGTACTGGTTGCAGACCAAACCTTTTCTCAGGTACACAAAGTTCACGTAGAGGCATGTGTTGATGTTCATAACTTTGAATTCCTACAACAGGATTTTGATAACCTTAGACATGTTTTCACTGCACACAACAGATAGATTCTGCCCAGCCACACTCCTCATCAAATCCATACTATCACCCAAAAACAGACACCATCATTGCCTCAGGCAGTCCATTTTGGCATCCATCCCAAAACATTCTAATAAAACCAGTGATTACCGGTAAACGTTTCCCAAAGTTTTCATTCTGATCAGGATGTGTGGAGCATCACAGGCATACCTTCAGCATCAAGTGTGCTCAAATTCATCAGAAATAAATGAACAAGGTCAGTAAGAGTGATAACTGAGCTTACTATGTTCACGTACAGAGTGTATACCCAGTGACAAAGACAGGTCAGCCCTTTGAAGACGGAGTGTCAGACGGATTGACAGTTGAATGAAGAGTTGAAATTGGTCTAAGACGGCGGGATATGAGGGGCTAGTCAAAAAGCTCTAGGCCTGACTAACTTTCAACTGTGCGCCCAAACAAAGTGAACTAGTCAAGGTAGTACATTGTTTGAGTACTTCATTGCAAGTGTATTTGGTTTATTGTTATTAGTGACAGTCGGTTGAACGTGATAGGAGTCCAAATGAACACAGAAGTGGACGAGAACGAGTACCGAGCAGTTATCAAGGTTTTGACTTTAGAGAAATGTACTCCTGAAGAAATTCATGACCACATGTCACAATTGTATGGAGATAAGTGCCCAAGCTAGTCCACTGTTAAACGTTGGGCAGCTATGTTTAAGGCTGGGAGATCAAGCCTTGATGACGACCCTAGGTCTGGACGTCACTCAACTTCCATCAATGAAGATTCAATAAAGGATCCATTGAAACTATTGTTCATGAACATTCACAGATGATATCTGCTCGCTGGGTGTCAAAGTTTCTAAATTCTGATCTTAAGGAAAAATGAGCTGACATTGCCAGAGAATACTTAGAGCAATTTGAGGAGGATTTCGTCAAATTCAAAAAGATTATTAACGGGTGATGAAACATGGGTCTACCACTATAATCCCGAGTCAAAACATCAATCCATGGAATGGCACCATTCCACTTCTCCGGCACCAAAGAAACTCATGTCTTCAAGATCAGTGAAGAAAGTTATGGCCGCTGTATTCTGTGACGCAAAGGGTGTGATCCTTGTTGATTACTTAGAAAGTCCAAAGACGATTATCGGTGGCTACTATACTGATTTGCTTTATTGCCTGAGAGATTTTATCAGAGAAAAGCGGCAAGGAATGCTGACTGCTAGAGTTCTGCTTTATCATGACAATGCCTCTTCTCACAGCTCTCGACTTGCAAAAACTGCTGCGCAACAATGTTCCTTCGAAGAGCTTCCTTACCCTCTTTACTCGCCAGACCTAACACCAAGCGATTACCACCTGTTTCCTAAACTGAAAGAACACCTTCGTGGAAAGCGTTATGACGACGACAACGATGACCTCAAAACTGCAGTGAATGGGTTTTTCAGGGTGGTTTCAGAAAACCTCTTCCTGACTGGAATTGAAAAGCTTCACTATCGATATTAATAACTGGGAGTCATTGACACTATTTTTTAATCGGACCCGCCTCTTCAACAAGGGATCATAACCTATTAAGCAGACGGATTTGGTGATCTGATCCCTTGGGGCTCTGTCAGGTGGATCTGTCCCTCAATAACAATATGTTTTTGTTTGAGCGTGACATCGTGTTTTGCTGTTCTGACATCTCTTAATTAATTTCTTTCTACTGCAGACTGAGATGTGTTGTGCTGCGAAGATGAATGTTGTTGAGATGATGGACAATACTGCTGACTAATTGCGCTGAGTATATGTGACAGATGTTAACATTTCAGGTGGAAGACTCACGATTAATCGTGTTTGCTGATGTCCGGTATGTCTGGCATTGAATTACGTGGTGGATACACTAGGCTTTCATTTGGCAATGCAACTCTTCCAATTTAAGAGGCAATGTCATGAAAGTCTCCGTGTTGTATCCTTGGACAAGGTTATTGACTTCACTTGTTCCACTGTGATATGACTGAAACCGTTGTTGACTGTGATGTGAAATGCCCATGAAGTACCGTTAACGCTTACTTGGTTAAAAAATGCAACATGAACACACACACACACACACACACACACACACACACACACACACACACACACACACACACACACACACACACACACACAAACACACACACACATATATATATATATATATATATATATATATATATATATATATATATACTACTCAAAAGAAGTTAAATAACACCAGATATATAATACACGATTTAGCAAATTGGTCATGGCATTATGTGTTATAACATTACTATCATCTAATGTTTGGCAACATGTTGCACCACGTCTGGGGTATTGCTGATCCTCCTGACACTTTCTGGAAACACTTCTGGTAGTCATGCAAATGAATTGAAAACATGAGCAAAACACAGGAATATTGTCGCCCAAACACAACGCTGCACCTGTCCTTAGCAACAACCAACACAATTTTCATGCTCAGCATATGAAAGTGGTGATGTTCATGGTGCACGTGCATGCTTTCCCTTTAAGAAGGCGATGACGATGATCGATGATCGTGTTATCACACTTTCCAAAACCATGCCACAGAGACGACATCTGACTGATGTTGATAGAGGACGAGGATGGGATGGCTCCAGGATGGCCTTTCTTTACCTGAAGTGGGCAGAAGATTGCAGAAGTCCCCCTCTGTCATTCACACCCTTTGGCATCGTTTTGCTGCCACTGGCAGGGTGCAAGAGCGACATCGTTCTGGACGGTAAGGTGTACCTCACAACGTGATGACCGATACCTGGTTCTCCAAGCACTCAGGCAGCGTACATCAACAGCAAACAACCTCAGGTTACAGTTAAGGGCTGTCAATAACACTGTCGTTAGTGATCAGACGGTGCGAAACCGTTTACGAGCTGCGCACTTGAGAAGTCGACGACACGCAGTGAGACCACCTTTACGTCAAGTTCACAGAACAGCACGTCTGGCTTGGTGTCGACAACATGTGCGTTGGAACAGACAGCAATGGTCTCGTGTACTGTTTACAGACGAGTCGCGATTCTGTTTGCAGCTCAATGATGGAAGAATACGGGTGTGGCGTCGTACTGGAGAGAGATTCACTGATGCCACAGTACGTGAACGTGTCGCTTTTGGTGGGGGATCAGTGATGGTATGGGAAGGATTCAGTTGGAATCACAGGACTCCTCTGTACCATATTGTCGGGAATCTGAATGCTGCCAGGTACCGTGATGAGATTCTTGAACCCCTGGTATTGCCCACACTTCGTCAGATTGGTCAAGGTGCTATCCTTCAGGACGACAATGCAAGACCCCATCGCGCTCGGATTATCACTGACTATCACAGACAAAGGCAGATTACCGTTATGCAATGGCCTGCTTATTCGCCAGATCTGGCGCCCATTAAACATCTTTGGGATGCCTTGGGAAGAGCCGTTCAAGCTAACCACCCACCTCCTGTTAATCTCCAGCAACTGTTAGGATTTCTTCATCAGGAATAGCAAGCAATTCAACAGACAACACTACAACAGCTTGTCCGATCTATGCGTAGAAGATGTCAGGACTGTATTGCTTCCAGGGGTAGGCATACCCGATATTGAAGGAACAGGATTATCCTTAACTGTAGTGTGTGACTTTTGATTTATAGGGTACATGCAATTCATATTGATTTGCTCTGGTCAGCTGTATGCCAGCGTTTCTTTCGTCAATGAAATGTCATGATTAAATACTTATCTTTCACAATCAGTGTTGTTCCTGTGGCCACGATTTATTTTTTGAGTGATTTTGATAACTTATTTGGGTGTTCTTTAACTTCTTTTGAGTAGTATATATACTCTGCAAAAAACGAAACGCAACATTATTAAACCCTTTAAGTATCTGTGTATCTGTGTATCTGAGAGAGTGTTGCCGACATCCACACAAAATTAAAACCAAATAGGAATTAGTCCTTTCAGCATGGA